AATTAGTTAGCATAAATCAGTTAAATGACGAAAAATTAGGTGTCTATTTACTTGTGACCACTCAGTGTATGTATGTATGTGTGTATATAAGTATTAGCCAACATGCACTGCATGTGCACACATGTATAAAACTCGTGCAGTTATAAAATCCAGGCCATTCACCATTCCACTATAGTTCAGTAGTCCCTCCAATCCAGTACTTACAGACTCCCCATATAGCTACAGGGTATAAATATAGTAGCTATATATTTTTTACAAGCATATACATAACATGTTGTATGTTGATCACCATGCATCACAGTGGTCATACATACAGTATTACTACCAATGATAACATTGTGGCAATGATATCGGGAGCAACAGCCAATCCAAATTGTCATTGTTTCCCAAAGAGAGCATCATACACCAAATATGTATATCATTAAATTAAAACTGCTTCAAATAGGACATTATTGCTATTATACAGAGTTATGTCCATGATGAAATAAAAAAAAAACTAAAGAAACAAGATTGTTAAAAATTGTTAACTTACAAAGGGGGAATAAGGATATTTAAAACATTACAGAAACAAGACAGATAGCTTCAAGTGGAAATGCAATTGCACAAAAAATAAACAAACAAGCCTAACATTTGAGATATAGTGTTGACATTACTTCCTCAAGTTACAAGTCTCTATTTTGATTCTATGGCTGAAAGCTTTAACATTTAGAAGAGTTAAAATAGGGATTTGTAACTTGAGGAAGTAATGTCAACACTATGTCTCAAACCTTTACTTTTAGTGCAATTGCATTTCCATTTTAAACTACCTATCTTGTTTCTGTTTTTTTTTATAAAGATCCTTATTCCCCCTTTTTAAATTAACAATTTTTAGTAATCTAGTTGTACCTTGAAGTAAGGGTTACAATAATTAACCTATAGACCAATGGTTTTTTTATTTCAATTTTATGGTTTCTAAGATTCACTGCAGTATTCTTCTTTGTTAATCTAAATTTAGTTATCACTTCCATTGTTAGTTTCAAGCAAGCTCTTCAGGATTCAGAAGATGATGATGATAAAGTTCTCTTGCAAAAGAAAAGAAGGACAAAAGAAGAAAAGGTTAGGAATTTCTTAGCTTGATTCATCATCAAAACATGAACCTTTATATATATATATTAGTTTCCTTATGAGTGTTTTTAGTGACAAAATAGCAGGTTTAAAGTTATAGATTAATTTTGATATTAAATTTACTCTTTATTTGCAGTAATAATTATAGATAATGCTGTAAAATTTATGTTTGGCCACACATAGTGGGATTCAATCGCAAAGATATTTGTATGCGTTTTGAATACTATTTAATGGAGTTCTTATTTTTGTGATTGCCAATTTTTATGTAAAATAGAAGTTAAATAAAAATAAAGCAGTATTTGAGGCTTGTATAAAGTGTTTGATGTAAAAAAAACATTACATCTGCATGATATCATTTTATGCAAAGACATGAAGATGCCTCAGTGTCAATTGGCTTGGCATGCCAGGTGGTTAGGGAGCTTGATTCCCAATCTGCGGATCGCAGGTTCGAATCCCCATCCCACCAAACATGCTCGCCCTTTCAGCCATGGAGGCATTATAATGTTTGGTCAATCCCACTATTTGTTGATAAAATAGTAGCCCAAGAGTTGGTGGTGGGTGGTGATGACTAGCTGCCTTCCCTCTAGTCTTACACTGCTAAATTAGGGATGGCTAGTGCAGATAGCACTTGTGTAGCTTTGCATGAAATTCAAAAACAAAGAAACAAATAGTGTCAATTAGATTTATCTTAGATAGATTAAGTAGTTCTAGAATGGAAGCCGCACAGTTGTTGACTAGTGTTAACTAGTGAATACATGAGTGAATCTAAGCTTCATTATTCCGGTACGATCGTACAAAAGGCTGTGTTGACCTTCATTTGCTCTCTAAGCATTTGGTAAAATATTCTCATGGTCAGTGCACCAGTCTGTATACCCCATCAATTTCATGCCATTTCTGAACATGTACATATCATATGACTACTCTCCACCAATAGTATTGCACCACTTATACTGGCAAAACTAACTCTCTCTCTCTGGTATTCCTGCTCAATCCTCACTTACTTGATTGGTGCTGCATTGTTTAGATATGTGTTTTTTTCACATGGCTACCATTTATGAACGTGCTCCTTCACCATTTCAATTTTTTTTTGCAATTATTTCTTGTTACTGAATTATAAGAGATCTTATTATGATTTTGCGATCAATGTGTTGACTACAGAAATTCCCATTACATTCGAAAAAGGCTTCTGGTAAGACTTACCATGAATCGTGTTTGACTGTATCTGCAGAAGAGGTACAGGCCTTAAGTTGCAGGGAGCTCAATTCGTATGTTTGACTGGCGATTTTTTCTTCTTTTGAATGTGGTGACAGTGTTTCTGAAGAAGAAGAATATCAATGAGAAGACAACTTGGCATCTTCTTATTTTGGTCTGTCACACTGGATTCCTGATGACAGTGGGGAAGTATGTTCTTACCCCCTCTCAATACCCTGTTCATTTGGGTTTTTTGTCTTCTTTACAACCCTCAGTTGGGCCCAGCCATCTCCTCTTCATTTCCGGGTTTGGAGCAAGCAGTTCACTTGTCTCTCGCCTCACAATTCCAAAGCTCGATACAGTCTATCTCTTTGGAGATGTGGGCTTCTTTGGAACTCTCATTCCCATGGACCGGGCTCATATGTATTCCCTTCAATAAACACTCCTAGATCACTGGAACTTCTCCTCAGCCCCTGGCTCGGTGGTTAGACAGAGACCAGACCATGGTGTGGGTGCTGTTTATTTAATTTCTTCTATATTTACATCTTTTCATGGACTCATCTTCAGGGGTTAGGGTTTTTACCTCGACTTCTGGGAGATTTCTGGTCTCTGATTGATCCAGGAATTTCCTCTCGAGCCTAGGGGGGTTTGTTGAGCTTTGTCCTACTTCTTTTCACACAATAGGGGTATTTATGTCAGGGGGTACAAATTCAAGGTCTCTGTGTTTTCAGATCTTCGATATCCTTTCTGTGACCACAGTCACCACATTGTGGTCTTAGCTTGCCATTTTCCTGGCTGAGCACATCTCATATATGCATTTGCCACCCACTGGAACATCAAACTTCCTTCCCTTTGGTCTCTCAGTCCTTATTTGCTAAATCTGGAGGTGGTCACGTTTTGTCAAGATTGGAATGGTCTTAACATATATGCTTACCCTCCTATTTGACTCCTCTCCAGAGGTCTATCCTTCTTCCAAAGTACTATGTGGGTAGTCCTACTGGTGACTTTGTTTTGGCTGACACCACCATCATTCCTACTGCTCTGACCTTTACTTACCTCTGTCTCGGTCCCTATTCTGTTGATCGTTTTTTGACATGTTCATCCAGATGTCACCACACACACAGTCTCTTCACACATAGCTTTTGTTGTGTCTGTTGTCTCAGCCCAGGGACTGACTCCATGTGCTGCATCTTTCCTTTCCCACTCCATTAGACCTTCTTCCATGTCCATTTACCACAGGCAATGGTGTACTTTCCTCCTTTGATCTCTTTGATGTGATTTCTGTCCTTCCCAACCTTCCATTCCTCATCTTTTCCTATTCTTCACCTGGTTGATTGACAAAGGCTTGTCCACTTCGACTGTTTCTCTAGTTTTTGTCTTCTTCTATCATTTCCCTCCTTTTTATTCTCCTTTTGAGTTATGCATCTTTCATGTTTCTTTAATTTGCCTGATTGGGATCTCATTGTGGTCCATTATGCCTTTCCCACCCTCCCTTTGGACCTTTGTCTTCATGTTACATCTACTGTCTCTCCCCCAGGACATAATTCCTTCTCCTCCTTAGTTGCAGACTTTGTCTATCAGATGTTTCTGCATTTAATTTTGCCAGCTTACTCTACCATTCCTCTTATGTCATACTATATCCTGACTAATCCTTCCTTCCTCAGACCTATGTTGCCTGTGAAGGCTGTTTGGCTTTCACATCCATTTTGTTACTTCCATCTCCCACCGGTACTCCCACTCCGCTCCTGATCGGCTTCTTTGTCTGGTTTGTTCCTTACAATGTTATGTGGCATGTTTTGCCTACTTTCATGGTTCAAGTTCCAGACTTTTATTCCCTGGAACCCTTCCATTTCCTGTGATCTTTCCCCTGACATGTTAACTGATTGGGTTTATCAACTCATTGGACTGGCATATTCTGACCTATCCAAGGAAGGTTGCAATCTCCTACAGGTGTCTTCTCATCATATTTGTCACGTCACCATATCTTTGGCTTTTCGCCTTCACCATCTGTTGGAGGTCATTCAGGTTGTTATGTGAACTACTCCCAATACCTTTGTAACTCATTATCTGCACAATTTGGCTGTATCTTCCTCTGGTGGATAGTCTCTGTCCTGTAGCGATTCTACACTTGTCCAATTGCCTTTGTCTTATTCCTTCCTTTTATTGTAGCAACCCCCCATTTTAACCACTGATAATGAGATCTCACTCTGTGGCGGATGTTGCCTGATCAAGTATGCTTTGCCTCAACCTTGTACCGTTTACTGAGTGCACCATAACGCCTACTGTAAAGACTGGATGTTTTCGCAAAACCACTAGTGGTATACCCAGTGATATATATATATAGACACACACACACACACACACACACATGCTAGATATCACTAACTTTCACTAAATGATGGACTGTCACTCATGGACTTCACAAGTAAAGCAGAAGGGGATTCCTGCTCATCCCTGCCAACCATTTGATTGAATAAATCAGGGTTGGTCTGCTTTTCAAAATAGGGAATAGTGGACACCCATTACACTTTCTCTGGTGTGACATTCCTCTTGACCCCCACCATGTTTACTCCCCCCCTTTTCTTCCAGTGGAGCAAGGGAGTCCTTACCACCTCCCAGTTGCTGGGGTGGCTGACCATGGAGGCTTCCTCCTGAGTGTGTTTCAAATTTACTTTGACATACCTATTCATGGTTATGTGCTCAGTGAGAAGAGGGCAATGCTGGTTCCCTCCTTCAATTTCCCCTGGATATTTTGTCCATTGTGAACACATGTTGGTTGAAGTGGGTCAGGCCTCTGTGGGATCCTCCTTGCAATACCGGGTTCAGGATGACAACAAACTGTTCCTATGGTTGTGTGCAGCAGACCTCTCTTCTTGTTAATTCTGGTTGCAGGAGGTTCTTTCCCTGCTCATATGGTGGAGTTTGGGAGACTTTGTCTGCCTCATAATTATGGCAACAAGCCATACGCTCACTTTTCCTATGGTGGAGTGAATGTTCCATGTCCTTCTTGTAATTGCAAATGCAGGATGTCTTTTCCCCTGCATTTTTGGTTGAGTGAGTTATGATTTTGCTCATAATACCAGTTACAAATATAACTCTGTTTTTATGGTTGAGTTGAGGTTATGCCACGACCCCGGTTGTTTTGGGAGTTTGTTCGATTTCAACCAAAAGCTCACTTCCTCTTTGTAATTCCGGTTGCTTGACATATGAAACTCTACTTACAGTTGTTAACGGGTATATATCACATAGTCAACATACCCTGGCCACAATGTTGATGTTGCAGATTTTTTTTTTCATCCTCACCCTCCTAATGCTGAGGACGAGTTATGGAAACTTGTCTGGTTGAGGTTGGGGATGTACTTAGTTAATTCTATTTATATGTTGATATGGATTGCACCTCTCAGAACATATTACACTTGTGCATGTTATTTTCTTTTCCCACCTGTTTCGGATTGATTTCTTACTCTCTGTGCAAAGATCATACCTGTTCCAGAAGTAGTGTGGTATCCCACAAGTGTGCTTCATTTTCATCTCTGAGCACACACGTTCATGCTTGGTGGTCGCTTTCTGCTTGGTTTCATTTTTGTATACCTACACTGACACTTCCACCATTGCAGTGTGGAATTCTAGCTTTATGTAAGAGGAGGTAAGACCAATTATTGAGAGTAAGGATTGAATGGGAATAGCAGAGGGAGCTAGCTGAGGTGGAGTAGTCATATGATATGTACATGTTTATAAATGGTGCAAAATTGATAGGGTTTATAGACTGGTGCGCTGATCATGAAAATGTTTTTAGCAATTCTTAGAGGGCAGATGAAGATCAAGATAGCTTTATGTTAGAGGAGGTAGGTACCTATTGGAAATACATTTTGAGTGTAAGAAAAATGTTTAAAGAGACTTCTTAAAACAGTCACTTTGTCAGAATTTAAAATATAATTTTTTTCCAAGTGTCAAAATAAAAGGCTTTTACTTATATTTCTTAATAGTATAAATATATACTATGTTGTTGTTGGGCTTAGGATTCTTTTACAGTAGGTGTCTGTGACTTGTTAGTGATAAATTCAGCAATGAATAAACAGCATGCATTTCACTTGTTTTCAAAATAATATATATATTCAGAACAAGTTAACATATGTACAATAAATTCTTCAACACTATAGATATTATGGACATATCATAAATACTATATATGTAGTTCTTTCCTTGTCAAATATCCACTTAGGTCTATTCAATTACCTTTTAATTTCAGTTGACAAGCTGAACTAACTTCTCTATTTCTATCACACTAGTATTCTCTGTGATTCCCTTACAATTGTAGCACAAGTTACCATAATAAGTTTGATCTTTTTTTTTTCTTTTGAAGATCCTCTGTTCCTTTTGTCAAAGTGCTCTCAGGCTGATTCAATTACTTTAAAACCATGCTTTGATGGAATAAATTAGTACTTTCATCTCCTTTTCTACTGTTAGTCTTGCTGTTAACATATTAAACGTTAGGCTATCACTTCTGTGGTAGTTAACTTCATGGCAAACTTTTCCTTGCCCATAACTTTGCTCTCTTCTTCTACTGTCTGTCTGGTTTTTCTCCTCGTCTCACTATTTATATGTCTATCACTTAATTGTCTGCCCGCCTTCTATATTCTCGACATCAATGTATTGCACCGGACGTTCAATAGTCTCAACATCAATGAATTATTAACAAAACCTTCTACAGTCATCTGCTTTTAACTCTTATTATAACAAAAACTAAACAATAATAAAATATTCTCTCACAAAAATAAATTAATCAATAATATCTTAACTAAACAGTCTTTTATATCATGACACACTTTAACTCTCTTTTATTGGCTTGTTTATTTTGACTGACCTTTTAGCCACCATTTAACCATGAAACTATACATACTATATTTTTTAATGTAGTAAGTATATCTTCACAAAATTTGGAAGCATTTAATAAACATTACAAGTCTGTTGTACGCAAAACATTTGCTTGTGAATTTATGGTGTCAGTCTGACTCAGACGCTGACTAATCCGAGTGAGAGGTAATTTTCACATTAAGAATAGATACTTTTTGTCTTACATTTACATAACCTCTAGAACTTTCTAAATGGAATATCAAAAGTTTTTTTTTTGTAATACTTTATACATCATCTACTATTGTTCTTATTTTCTCTACCCTAACACTAACTGTAGTGAAACCAACTGTAACAAAAATTAAAAATATGAAATAAAATCAAAATAACTTTTTTCTAGAATTACTACAGATTATAAAAGACACTTACATTTACTTATCCTACAGTCTACAGTTTTCTAACCTGTGCACAACTATTTCATTCCATTTGTTATTTTATTGCTCTCTAAACCATGTCTGACTACTAAGCTAGCTCAACAAATTAATAAATCATTCAGCAAGAACATGATGCAAATTATTTTAAACAAAGTATTGAATTACATCATACATAAGCAGCTTTCCTCCCAGAGAAATTTTGTATTTTTTTTTTTCATGTAAGTTTTCTTATCTAACCTAACAAGTTTCTAATTTTTAAATTTTAGTTACTTTTTTTAAGTAATAAATAAAAAATATACATAAAAGAAATTTAGTACTTATGTATGGGTCTTGTACGTTTTTTGATCTTGAAGTCTTGATAAAAGTTAACCCTAATATAGTACAGGGTTCTCGTCAGTATTTAATTTTCATTGATTTCAAATATGCAATTTAGATAATAAAGGTTTGAGAATATATCAAGTAATATGTATTGAAACTTTAAAGAACTACTTTGAGTGTGATTTATATGATGTACACTGACTTAGTGTTTTAATCTCTAGAAAATTAAGATTATTCGCTAATATTCATGTTTTTTCTTTTAGGAAGCAGAAGATGTAGATTACTTGTCGTGGTTGAAAGGACAGTGTGAGAAAACTGAAGATAAAGCAACAGAAAAAGATTTGGTTGGCATACAAAGAAATCCATACTAATATGTTGGAAATTATATTTCCAATTCTATTGTAACAAATTTACATTAACATAAAATGCTGTATGTAAAAGTCCTGGGGAGTTGCTATATAGTTAAATAATCTTAATGTATAATTTTTGTAGAGAAGGTTGTGATAAAAGTCTTTTTAAACATAACAGTGTTCATAAGAGCTCCTTGAGCCTATTATTGATTTAGGAATAAAAATCACTGATTTACTCACATTTCTCATAATAGTTTTTTAAAATGGGGCTGAATAATATACCAAGTCTTTGCACCTATTTATATTATAATAGTATACAGATAAATACATAACTCTTCTTATTTTAAAAAGTTTGTTTTCAGGTGGGTCTGCAGGGGAGTGAACTCTTCTCCCCATGATAGTTGGCTGTTAATTAAACCAATAGACAAAAATCTTTTGGTGAGCCGAGTTTAATCCCCTGCATGGTAAATGCAGAATTTGTTTTTGAAATAAAAATGTTAATATATTTATATAGGTAACGACGTGAAACAATACGTCAATGATCAATATTAACTTTTGATCAAATCAAGCTGCCTACATAGTTCATGACTAAAAATCAACCCTCTAATGAATATAGCTAATTAAATATACCATTCTTACTTATAAAGATTTGAATGCATTGTTTCGTCGTTTGTGAGTGATACTTTTGTCTGTAATCTCAGTAACATCTCAGCAAGGTTTGTCCAGCTGAGGAGGTTTAGTTTAGTCTGAAATTCATATACTAAGCTAAGAATGAATGGATGCACAAAAATTCTGACCAATATTGTTGATTAGAGAAACATTAAAGAATAGAATACAGATGTTTGAAGTATGCTCTTTTATTCACCAAGGAAACTAATTCTTAAAATTGTAATGGTTTTATTTTAGACTGTACCTTGTCTCAAAGCTGTAATAACAGGAATCATTCTGTTTGATCTGTAGTAACAATACAAGGATGAATGCCACTTCCTCCACCACTGATGATGATGGGGGTTTGAAGGCTTATTGTAATAGAAGAACTTGTAAAGTTCTTTAATAGTACCCTCTTTGAATGGGTTAGTCTTAGGGACAGTTTCCACTGCAAGAGACTTTAGTGCAATATACTGAGGCCATTATTGTCCCTCTCCTCTTTTCCTGCTGTCCAAAGTCTGTCATCTGTGCACAAACAATGACTTCTTAGGGTCTGTTTGAGCAGTTCAAAGGTACAGACAATGACTTGTTAGGGTATATTTGAGCAACCCGAAAGCACAGATGACTTCTTTAGAGTTTGTTTGAGCAACACAAAAGTTCAGACAATGACTTGTTAGGGTCTATTTAAGCAACCTCAAATTAGAGACAACGACTCTGCAGGGTTTATTTAAGCAACCTCAAATTACAGACAATGACTTATTAGGGTCTATTTAAGCAACCATGCTAGTAAGTTATATAATGTAACTGTCAAAAAGGGGTCATATTTAGATGCCATAGGAGAATTCCATGCTAGTAAGTTCCATATTCTTTGATAAATTGTTTAGGCAGAGTAGTCATGATGAAACTTAGATGAATGGACAGCAACTTTCCTGTTGTAGAAACACAAGTGTAGAGGACGACTTTTCAAAAGGCAGGTCATACTCTTCACTTGTGTTTCTATAACAGGAAAGTTGCTGTCCATTCCACTAAGTTAAACTTCCATATTGTAACCCTCCTGGAAGAAGTCATCTTTGGATGCCATGTGCAGTTGGAGATTATCATATTTCAACTTAATTGTAGCAAGAGGGTTGGGATTTTTACCCTGTGTAGCCACAAGGATAGTCAGGAGTAAAGTAACTGTATATGCAAGTTGTTAGTGTTGGTTGGGAACAAGCCTACCTATATGTATATAGTATGTGTATCTGTATATATTCCTGTAACTGTACCTATGATGTTACAATGCAAAAGTATACAATAGTGGCATTTAACTACGAAAAAAAAAAGGAACATTTTGAATAATTATTATTGTATTTTTAGTGCTGCTGGATCTAAGTGACATTTTTTTTTTCAGAAATTTTTGCAAAATTACTGGAATGATCCATCACTGGATGATGGTGAAGTTTTTTTACGCGATTACATTTTGAACAAAAAGTATTTAGATGAAGGTATAAGTGACAAGATTCCAAGCTATGAAGATATTGTTGATGACTTAGAAAATCTCAGCGAAGATGAGAAAACCTTAGAAGAACAAGCTTCTTTTGAACAGAAATTTAACTTCAGATTTGAGGAACCGGACCAAGAATTCGTAAGAAAACATAATGAATATTGATTTTTGTGTGAATAAGTGAAATGTAATTTTGCTGTGAAGTAAAACAACATAATATTTTCAGTTATGTCTTCATACTTACTGTTCTTCGGTGTAGATTTCAACAGCTAGAGATTGAGATACAAAAAGAGAATTGTAGATATTTTCATGTTTTTTTTTCTAATTACATATACATATTTTTTCATATACACATTGAAATTTTATCAATTTTTTATTAGTTTATATTGGCTCATATAAATTATTATTATTATTCTAATACTAATGGTAAATAGAGCACTTAGGCTGTAATTATGAGATTGCATGAAGGCAACGAAGTAGGGCTAGTTATGACTTAGTGGTTAACGTGTCATATCTGTTGATCAGTAAAGCCGTGGTTTGAGTCTGTGAGGTGTCACTTAACGTGCTCCACACTTTCAACTGTGTGTGTTGTAAAAGTGACAGTCAATCCTGATGTTTGGTCAAGAGTAGATGTGTAGGTGGCTGTTGTTGTCAACTAGTTGCCCTCAGTCTGGTCAACAGTTCTGAATTTGTGACTGGATACTTATCATATGTGCAAAATTTTTAGGTTTTTTAAAACCCAGTGTGTTTGAGAGTATAAAAAAATGTTTGGGGTTCAGAGAAGCCCAAAATATTCTCAAACCTACAGTTTTAATTACTGAATGTTCCAACTTTATGTAATATGAAATGCCATTTAAAAGTAGTTTATTACTTTTAGGTCTTAAAAAATCATTGGTTGATAGTTTTTATCATTAAATTAAAGAAAAAAAGGTTATTTTGTTAAAAATGTGACAATTTCAGAGCTAGAATATAACAAAATATCCATTTAATGTTCTATATATTTTTTTATTCCTACTGGATTTAATGCTAAGAAAATAAGATCATTATGAATCATTTAGCAATACCGAGTAGTAAAGTTCTATTTTTGTTTTACAGATAAAGAGGTATCCACGTACCTTAAAAGATTCTTTACGTCGTAAAGATGATCGCAGGAAGCACAAGAGAGAGGAATATAAGGAACGTAAGGAAAAGGTACCATTTTTTTTGTTTTTGAATTTGTAAAACTTTTTGTTTCAT